CAGACAGACAGACAGACAGACAGACAGACAGATAGACATGGTGAGGAAGAGAGGGATCGAAAGAAAAGATAATGATAGATAGATAGATAGATAGACAAATGGATAGATAGATAGACAGATATGTGCAGTTAGTAGATGGAAGACGATGATGAGAGAAGGTGGGCAGGTGATGATAATAATAATATAGACAGAAAAGCCAAGAATGCAAGAAGTCTTACCTGTGCGTCCCCGACTGGGGCAATGCATGTCGATGGGCTGGGGGGTGAAGACACTCTGTGATGAGGGCGTGAGGGGGTATGGTGCCATGCCGTGGTGTTCGAACCCCCGGACATCCAGCTTCTCGTTCTGCTCCTGGAACATGTTGGTAGCGACGGCAGTCATCCAGGCTACAGCTCGGCTCTGGTGGTGCTCCAGCGCAAAATCTTTTCTCTGACAGATCTTTTAGGGCGGAAATTTATTGTTGTGATTTTTTTCCCGGGCCTCTTTTGCAGTTTGTTCTTTCCTTGTTTATGTCCAACTGTTTTGTGTGTTGCTATGGGAACTCCATAAGCTTGAAACGCCTGTTCACAGTCAATAGGAATTAAGGGCTGAACTACCAAAACGTTCACTCAGTATAATCGAAGACATTTATTATAACCAATGTTGTGAAATCTACAGATCTGTCGGTTATACTATTTTGAGGCCTTACTTAATTATTAGTTTGATTAGTTTGGGCTAAAAGTAAGCCTTGGTCTAGCATCTAGGAAATCCGGCTTTAAATGCGTTGTTTTATCTGTGATTCTCCAGCTATTTAGCTAATCTGTTTTGGTTTCCAGTATGACTGACTTACGCATCACCATGGCCAGTCATAATGGTGAGCCAATGAAGAGGACAAATTTGCTCACACCAGGAAACGCTCTGTGAGAAACAGTTCCTGTCTCCAGCGAGCCCTAGTGTGGAAAGAGACCGCTTACTTTAGGAAGTGTTGTATTAATAAACGGTTGCGCATTGAATACGTGTTTCAACAAACTTTTAGTCGGTCAGTTAGTAAGCTCATGGGAATCTAATGCAGACACGTTGCTGTCCATCTCATTTATAATTCCCCGTCACTGAGAGGAGGAAGAAATCACAGCCACCACCACACGCCACGTCCTTAACGACTTGGTTCAAAGCCTGACTATGCTGGGGGGAGGCTGTGTCCCCCTAGGGGCCGCCTCTCAGCCGACGAGGGGGCGGGGCTTGAGCGCGCGCGCGCTGTCCTCATACAAGATGTATCGATTGAGCGAGCTCTGTCGCGATTGTTTACTTTATGTTTTACCCTTAACCGCCCCAGCCGCCTTGCGACAGGGCAAGAGCTTGGTCAATGGTCCCATTTCTCACACTAGAATTATACTTCAGTTTTCCTGTTGCTCAATTGAAATGTAAGGAAGTCCCAAAGAGGGCTGGAAGAAGTGTGAAAAAAAAATCACAGCTATCGTGAAGGCCCTAATTGGTTTCTGTCATCGGTTTCTTTATAGATTTTTCTTCAAACCAAGATCTTCTAATTTTTTTTCTAACTGAATCTTAATTCTCTTATGGCATTATTATGGAAACCCTATTAGGGTAAAGGGACAGCAAAACTTAAATACTGAAGCAGGGTTTAAATATGTAAAAAGAAACGTTAACATCGTTTCGGCTTAATACTAATAGATCTATAGATGTTCACCTAATACAGTCATTTGTAAATTAAAAAAAAAACATTTCTTCACTTATCCTGTTGTTTTTCTTACTTGCAAAGACCGCGCGATAGACGGCAAATTTGAGTCGCCGGATACAATTATCTACGCCATACAGCGGCCCGGCAAGGCGATTATCGACCAAGGGTGGCGACACACCCACTTGTTTCCCACACAGTCACGACATCCATCTTTTGACGGCCGGCACGTGTGCGGGGATTTCTCGCTCTCTGATTGGCTCCGGCCCTGCCACAATCATACCTCGCGTCGTGGTGTCAACTTCCTCTCTTGCCAGCTCTTCTGAGGACTTGCTGTAACGTTAGAGACCGCGGATTATTTGTGCAGAAGGGAGGAGGAGAATAGAAAGAGAAAAAAGACGGGGAGAGACATAAGGGGTTGGGGTGGGG